ATTCATAAAAACAACTTTATACGCAAAGAATTGATTAAAGCACTTCGGTCCTGCCTGTAGCACATGAAGAAACAAACCAACATCGGATTCAGAATCTATCGAGCAAACATTCTAAAGGCATTTCCAAATGATTTCAGGGTTTCTTAATTATATGAGAGGCATAGCGAGAATCCAATAAGTGAATGGAATCCCTTTTACCTTCCACAGAAAAAGATTGATTTTTCCCACTCTCTTTTCCCATAGGTCCACTGATTTGCCTTCCATGACAAAATTATATCCCTCGAACATTGAGGTTGACTGTTACCCACTGGCGTCTTACGCAGAAAATTTTCAAAATTTTTCTGGAAATTCAAGTCTAACAAATACAGTGACTCAACATGATCTATTCTACGAGTTAGATCCCTAAAATAAAGCCTCCATTAAATTTGTTGAGCATGATTTTCCTGCCATAAAAATGGTTATGTTAAATTCCATTAAATCTTACAAAAGTTTTGTTATCCGCTACCTTTACAGAGGTACATGCACATTAGAAAGGGATTGGGGGTCACATGGAGATAGTTTAAATCAGCAGCAATTCACAGTAATATGATATAAACTGCCCAATAGGAAGCCAGAAACTTTCCAGTGTTCAATTGTCAAATCACAGGTTGATAGTTCGAGGAATCGAAATAATTTGAAGGTGTGCATTTAAGAGAGTAGGGGAGTACGATAAGGTGAATCACATATTTCAGTACCAGTAGTGCAGCTGGAGCCCAACAGACCACAACTGGAGTTCCCATTCTATTACTTGAACTTACTGACGGTTTGGGAAGGTTCTTGAATCTTAAGAAACTAACAGAAATCAAACCTTCGATCTATTACATCCACGATGTTTATATCAACATTTTCAGAGTGCGCAGGAATTCCACAAGATTGCAAATGCAGAGAAGTTGCGATCCAAATGAATTGTACAAAAGTTACAACAGGCAGTAACGTAGGAACCAAACATCATGGATACATACCTGCCACTGTGAGTAAGTGAAGGTCGGGGCGTATCCCTCTCTGGGTACATGAGGATTTGTGTGTGTGTGTGTGTGTGTGTGTGTGTGTGTGTGTGTGTGTGTGTTTGTCTGTGCCTGTGTATGTTTGTGTATGTTTTTGTGTGTTTATGAGTAAGTGTTTCTACGTGCATGCCTGGTGGTGCATACACTTGCACTTGTCTCACTTTCTGTGTGTTTGTCCGTTCATGTGTCAGGGAGTGCTATAACTGTCATTCTGTGTTTGTGAATGCCTCTAATTGTGTAATGGGAGATATTTGTCAGAAGCATATTGAATTTAGAGGTGAAAGCCTCTGTGTCATTTTCCTCAGTTTATGTTTAAAATAATACAATGTGGCGTAGTGAATGGGAGCCAGAGCTTCTGGTTACCGGCTCGGGCAGCGTGGTCAGACCATGGAGGCTTCAGGGCACTCTTCACCGGGAACATAAACACAGCAATTGAACAATCAGGGACATCGGGGGGAAAGTTGTCGCTGTATTCCTCCTCATGATGATCATTACCATGATACAACTCAATGAGCAGCCAGTACAGAAACTCTGGGGAGACAGGAGTTAGTCAGACTGCCCCACCATCTCAATCACAAAACCTTTTCAGAGGAGCAGTAGTAACTGATTCGAAATGAATTATGTGGATTTCCCATGCTCAATGTGATCATATTACATGAATCTTCATCGGTAAGAATCAAGAGTGCACCTATTTACTAAACAGCCTGTTCAGAGATGTTGCAAACACTTCTAGAAAAGGTGAAGCGAGAAACCCGACCTATTTGATACAAAGCGAGTGACAGTGGCTTTCAACATCGGTAGACCCTAAGACTCTCAAGAGTAACTCACTTCTAGCTGATTTCATTCAGGATAATCAATGTTAACCGCACATCCATCTTCATTTCCTATTTATAGGAACACTACATTGAAATAAACAATGGCTCTATACTTTATAGTGCACAGCAGACACGAGAGAAGGAAGTGTCGCTGTTATACTTCCACCCACACGCTAATTGACATGCAAAGACCCGGGACATCTGACACACCACATTAGTTAAACAGAGAACAATATTGGCGTCAGTAACACCCGTGGAAATGCAGTCGGAAAGAAGACTCGATCAATTGTGAATAAAGACGCAGTTATAGAATTCTTTTTTTGGTGGGGTCGGGGGCAGGTTGTGTTCCATTATGGTGTCTAAAGTCAAACTTCAGCTGAGTTCACTAACATGTGGAGAATGTCCAAGAAGGAGAGAATGAAGGTGAAACTCAGTGCAAAGAAAGAGAGACGCAAAGAGAGGGCAAAAAAGATGTCACTGTGTATCCTCAAAGAAGCCAACAGCAGAGACTGATAAATGTGAGTCGGTTGGCACTGATACAGAGTAAAACCAAGAGAGGGGTTTCGGTGCTGGCCTGACGGTATTGAAACTACGAATCGTGAAAATCACCAGGAGATCAGTCAAATGGAGAGCAGCAGCAGACATCACCACCAAATCTGACAGCAACATAAATACACGCGAGCACACGCAAACAAACATACACAGACACACACACAAACACACACACACACACAAACTCACACACAGGTACACAGAAACAGCGAGAGAGAGACAGTCAAAGTAGAAAGTCAACTGAGGAGCCATTTTTGAAGGCCGGTATAACAATAGATGAATAACACATGGAGTTACATTATTGGCACTGTATCAACGTACGCATTTACCGAACTCTCTCTCTTTCAGTCTTGGTGTCCTGATTATCTCTGAGTGAATTTCCATTCATCAATCTGTCTATTCCTCCAGGTATCTATCTTTCTGTCCGTCTATCTACTTATCTGTCTGTCTATCCATCTATCTATCTATCTATCCTTATAGCGATCAAAATTTCCAGTAATAGATAGAAGAGGCGTTGGAAAGAATCTGACTTTGACTCTGTTTTCAAGGATCAGAATCAATCTATTGTGAGATCTATCGATTGTGTAAGAGATAGCGTTCTTCCTCAAAGTCAATCTGAGCAAACATACCTCCTTGAAAAATAAAATATGGACAATGATTCCGGTAAATTGACATGGGGTGGTGGAAAGTTGTTTTCAGAATAACAGTCATTCCAGCAAAGAGAAGCAAAGTACAAAGGAGACTTTAAAATATAAACAATGAATTTATGAATTTCAGTTGGTTTTGCAACTTGAAATGAGAAAATACTCTACACTGCTACTTTGTGTGAGTTGATGCTGTTTTCGTTTTGAATGGCGTCATTCGTTGCTGCTCTCTCTCTGACTGAATGCAAGAACAGTTTCACCTTTCCCTTGTGCAGTAAAGGATATCCACCAGCAGAGGGTAGAACTGCATTTCTTGAACTGAAGGGCGGGAAACAGGGATAAACACTATGAGAAACAAAAACAGAAATGGCTGGAATTTCTCAGCAGGTCTGCCAGAATCTGTGGACAGAAATCAGAGATAAAGTTTCGGCTTAAATCACTCTTTCTGAGAATTAATTTCTCTCTACAGACATTTACTCAAAGTGAATATACATAATCTGAGACTGAAACATGGTGGGATATTGTGAAGAGTATACACGTCTTTTTTTTGAAACTACCAGGTCGACAAGCACGGATTGTGAAGAGAACAGACTGAATAAAAATTAGATTGGGAAGAAACAGAGATAGTAGGAACTGCAGATGCTGGAGAATCCGAGACAACAAGGTGTGGAGCTGGATGAACACAGCAGGCCAAGCAGCATCATAGGAGCAGAAAGGCTGACGTTTCGGGCCCAGACCCTTCAGCAGAAATGGGGGAGGGGAAGGGGGTTCTGAAATAAATAGGGAGAGAGGGTGAGGCGGATAGAAGATGGATAGAGGAGAAGATAGGTGGAGAGGAAACAGACAGGTCGAAGAGGCGGGGATGGAGCCAGTAGTGGGAGAGAGATCTCTGATTCAATTTTAACCCCACTGCGAAGCCTCTTCAAAGGATGCCTAGCCTGAAGAAGTTTCCTTTCTCCTTCCGGACAAACTTCAGGGGATCTCTCTCCCACTGCTGGCTCCATCACTGCCTCTTCGACCTGTCTGTTTCCTCTCCACCTATCCACTCCTCTATTCATCTTCTGTCCGCCTCACCCTCTCTCCCTATTTATTTCAGAACTCCCTTCCGCTCCCCCATTTCTGATGAAGGGTCTAGGCCCGAAACGTCAGCTTTTCTGCTCCTATGATGCTGCTTGGCCTGCTGTATTCCTCCAGCTCTGCACCTTATTGTCTTGGGAAGAAACAGAATCTGTGAATACATACTGGGGTAAGCCCAATGGAATGAAAGGTTTGTTTCCCTAACGTGAAATTCAATGTGTTTCCAGGGAGCTAGAAGTGTGCTCCCTTATCTCCTATCATCATTCCTCACATGGGGGCTTAATTCCATATTACAGAATTCCATGCCGAAGTACGGATCACACATTCGCCTGTGGCACTAATAGCTGTGGAAGTCCCCTCAATGGCAAAGAACTGCAGTACCACGACATTGCTCAGCTTTGCGAAGTGGTACAGGTGGCATGATGGAGGGGAGCCAATTCTTCTGATCACCACCTCTATCTTCGTAGAGGATTCGGGACACTCTTCATCAGAACAGAAACGAAGCACATTCATCATCAGAGACATCAGGAGGAAGGATACTGTTATTTACCACTGCCTGGTGATCATCACCATGTAACAACTCAAAGGGCAACCAGTATAGATAGTCCAGGCAGACAGGAGTCAGACTGACAGCTTTGCGATATGAACATCAACAATCTTACAGAGGAGCAACAATCACTGACTGAAAATGAATTATGTGAAACTACCCTGTTCGATGTGGAAATGTTGTCTGACTCGACATTGGTGAGAAACTAAAGCGCTTCCATTTTCTAAGGAACGTACTCTTAGATGTTATGAAGCACATCTAGAGTAGGTGACACGAGAGCTGCAATCAATTGGAATTCGAGGGAGGGACTCTACCACTGACATCAGTAGATCCTCAGAGACACACAAGAGGCACTGATCTGTAACTCATCCAGTTGATTTCCAATCAGGAGCATGAGGATAATCAATGTTAATCGTACCTCCATCTTCATGTCCTGTTGACAAGAGTGCAACTTCGAAACAGAAAAAGATTCTGCTCTTCAAAGTGCACGACAGACCAACGACGGAAATGAAGCACGTGCACTTGGATTAACACATGAACTGAAAACAAAGAACCAAGATAACTTATTCAACAATTAATTTAAACATAGAGAAAAGTAGTGTTCTCAGTAACGCGAGGTACTATATGGAAATAGCAGCTGAATAATCTCTTTAAAGTCAGATTTTAAAAATCGTCCTATAACAATTTGTTGTTCCATTACAGAGTCTCCAGTCAAATTGAGATATAATTCAGTGACATACAGAGAAACAAAAAGAAGTACAAATCAAGTTGAAACTCAGATGAATGACAGTGAGACGACAACAGAAGGGGCTAAAGATAGCAGGAAAGCGACATTCAAAAAAGTACACTGCGAGGAGAACTGAAAAATTAACTGTTGCGGTGACTCTCCACATACTGACGCATACGTTATCTCTCTCTCTCTCACACAAACACACACACACACACAAACACACACACACACACACACATACACACACACACACACACACAGAGAGAGAGAGAGGCGGGGTGCGGGAAGGAGAGAGAGCTTGGTGCCATGTTGTGTTTTGAGCAGATAAGCACAATTCCATGTGATCACATCGATGATGAAAGGATAAATTCAGTATCCCCTCAATGCAGTCGAATCAGCATTTTCAGTGACACCAATTGTAAAAGCTCGCCCGTGATGAACTGATGCTATGTTTCCAGATGCTCCCAATTCATTCCTTCATTGCCAGATCGGCGTGTGTGCGAGCTCAGAATCTGCACTTTCTTTTCTCAGCTGATCCGGGAAACACTTGGTTGGCAGTTTAATTCGAGATTAGTTTGGTTTCCTCTCAGAGTGTGTTTAACTTCCTGAAACCACATAATAACAACCCGAGACTCTGTGAAAACCTCAACACTGACAACAGTCTATGGTCTAAAGGCAGTTTTTGTACGGGGTAAAGGCTGTTTATCACGACTGTGTGCTGAAGCGCGCAGTAATACACAGCAGTGTCAGTCAGATGGATACCGGTGATAGTCAAACTGGTGAATTTCTTCGAGATCTGAAGTTCTATAGAGAAGCGACTTTTAGCAAAATCTGCTTTTTTCTCATTACCAGTAGTACTTTTCCTCATTATATATTCAGGTTGCGTGCCTGGACATCGTCGGTACCAATATAACCTGTAGGAGCTCAATGTTGTATCATAGGTACAATTTAGAGTCACCACCTCGCCTTCTGGATGAACATCTGAGGAAAGTGACTGAGTGACAGAATTTTCATAACTCAGGTCTGAAAGGAAAAACAAATGTTAATTACAAATTATTACCTTACATCAGTTTAAAATATTATTGTTAAAGGAATGTGAATAGTATTTCCTCCACAAGTACCTATTAGCATTGATCCCCAAACACCCCAGATGCTGAGTAGCCACATTATCTCTACCTTCGGTGTAAAACAGCCGTCGAATATTTGAGGAAACGCAGTCTATAAACACGCACTCAGTAAACTGCTGACGTGTCACTACAGGTTGCCACCTCACTTCCTTGTTGACGCGGTGGTACACTGGGAGCATGAGGAAGAAAGCAGCCTCTCAGTGAATTGACACATCTCGAGATGGGTTACAGTCACTGTACTTAAAATGGAGAAGTGAGAATTTTGATAGATTGACTTCCATCCTTAACGAGTAATTCCCCAGATTCACTGTACAATTTACTCTCAAGGCTCTGCTTCTTTTTTCCTGTCGCACATCCCAACTTGACCCGAGTTCTTGATCTTAGCCAATTAATGGCTGCACCTAAATTTGCAACACCACCATTCCTGATTTACCCAGCCTACACACAATCCTTGCAGCTCCGCAAGCACTCCGCTCTCAAATTATTATCTCACGTTCAATATCACTGGACTCAATCCCAGCGTTAACTCAACAGTATCTGTAATATCACTTTTACCAGATTCTCGTTTATTCTCCTTCTCTGATGCTGCTTCTCGGCCCTCAGGCTCAAGATTATCACTTTCTTCCTCTGTTAGCTCCGCTCAGCATTCCTTGCTGAGCTCAAGTTTCACTTTCCTTCCTCCCATCTGTCCTTGTTTTGCTGACTTACTGAACGCAGGGTCCTCATAGAACAGGGTTCACTGTACTTGTCATTGTTACTTTACGGATCTCCCATTCCAGCAGGGTCTGTCTGTCTGTGTGTGTGTGCGTGCGTCAGCACGTGTTTGTATGTGTGTACGTCCACTCCAGCAAGCATGCACGTGTGTCTCTCTGTTGAAAGCGAGAATTTTTTTGTGCTTTGATGTTATTTAAAATGTTGAAATTGCACTTCAATTTGAGTTTAAAGTGAGAAAGCGTCACCCTCTGCTGGTGCTGTGAAGCTACTTCACTTGCACAAAGTGAAAATCGTCACAGAATCAATCAGAAAATCAGTCGCAAACAGCAGCATTCAACCTCACAGATGCATCAACAAACACACATATGAGAAAAGTACGGGGATTAACGTCGGCCACGGCGAAGATTCCAGCGTGTTCTGTGCGGCAATTAGATAGAGAGTCAGTGTGGAGAACACACACATCCTCATCGTGTGAATTACATTTGTACAGAGGCAGTTAAGGAAGGCCACTTAGGACCTTATATGTTTCAATTCAATCATGTCTGTCTCTTGTGAACGCCAGATAGAAGCCAAAGATATCTCGTTTTACCACGCCTATCTTTCACTTGAATATAATTAGCACCCAGACTCTGTAATAAATTATACAAAAGATTCTTTCCCTCTCAGAGAAAACATACTTCCTCATCTCTTTCTTGAATGTTCTACTCTTTATTCTGAGATTGCTTCTCGGTTCCTTCTTCCCCATTATCTTTCCATCACGTATCTTTGCAACATTGAGACTTGAAGGTCTGCTCCAGGAATCAAAGTTAGGGACACTAAAACAACATCACAAGAACCCTCCACATCACTCGCTTATATTCTGACAGTATTCTGATGCTAATAAACACAAAGCATGCCTCCTTACACTTTGGAATTTAGGAGTGGAAATGAATGTCTGGTCTGTTAATTGCAATGAACAAACCAAGAAATTAAGCAAGTTTTCCAGCATTCGGATAACAGCTGAAGTAAAACCCGCCATTGAAGGGAATCGGACTATGTGTTTGTTTTAAGGATCAGCCTCGTTACATTTTCAAAATCTGTCCCGTGTGTACAAACCATTACTGATTCAGAGCCTCACACTGAGCAATTACCACTTTAGTTAACAGTGTGTTGTTACACTGGGGAACTGACGTTGGAGATGTGGAAGGCGTTGTTCTGAATGACACATGGGTGAACGTAGAAAAGCAAAGGACACGGGAAACATTACAGAACCGCTAGTGAATTTGTGAATGTCAGCTGAACATAGCTCCCTGGAAGCACATTGTATTTTCTACTGGGAAAACTAACTATTCAATGCAATGAACATATCTTGGCATACTTTCACGCATTCAGTTTCGTCTCAAACAATTTTTGAAAAGAAGTTTCTTTTTTCTTTTCCAACCCCTGTTATTCGCTAACTGCTATGAAAAAAAAGACTTTTCAACCGTTCACATTCGTGCACCACGTGCCGGAACCTCAGACTCTTACCATTCACTTTGAAAAAAACGTCTCTCCTTCATTCCTGAATGATTCCATAATCTACTGGATGTTTCTTGGTCCCTCACGTGATTTAATTATCGCTGGCTGGAATACTGTTTGTTGACCATTCTTAATACCATTGAAGGAGGTGGTGGTTAACTTGCTTTCCAAACGGCTGTATCACTTGGCGTAGAGGTAGACACAGGAATTCGTTAAGAAGGGGAAGATACAAAACTGACCCAGTGGCACTGAAGGAAGTGTGATACATTCCCAAGTCGCAATGGTGAATGAATTGGAGAGGAGCTTGCATCTGATGTTGTTCCCATTTTTCTGCTCCACTTGTCCTTCCAGATGGAAATGATCATTGGTTTGGAAGGTGATGCCAATTTCATTTTCTTTTCTCACCTCTCAACACTCAAAAATAAAGGGTATATTTTACAAATGCAGAAAATTTTAGCTTGAACTGCGAATGTGAAAAGCTCACATGACGGTTACTGATGAGAATCTAAATTATAACACACCTGGAATGATTGTATTCAGCTTGAGGATAACGAATGTTAATTGGAACTCCGTTTTCATGTTCTTTTGGCAGGAGTCCAACACCGAAATAAACAGACCAGAGCAGAAAGTGCTGTTGTGCCTCCATCAACTCACTCACCAAAAGGCAACAACTTCCGACTGTCATTGTTTCCATCCGTGCATGCAGGTATTATGGCCTCTCTCTCTGTATGTGCGTGTGTGTGTGTGTGTGTGTGTGTGTGTGTGGTGTGTTAGTTTCAGTATGTTTGCATCTTTGAATGTCTATGTATGTGTATCTGTGTTTGTTATGGATCAAACCAGATCCCCCAGACACTACATTTGTTCCAGTTATGATGTGACTGGTCAAACTATTCGACGTTAAGCAAAACAATTCATTTGAAACGTAAAGTTAAATTGCAAACAGTAGAAAGAGAATTTAGTCAAACTTAATACCGGAAAACATAACGAATATGTGATACAATACCTATTGTTCCAGTATACTAACATTGCATAAGCACAACCATTGTCAAAAAGGCAAATTCAGATACAGATTCTTACATGCTGTTCTCCAACCCAGGAGGAGGAAACGTCAAGAGATGATTCAGAAAGTGTAACAGCCAAGAGACTTCCATGGAATCTCCCAACTCTTCTGAGACTCCGAAAAGCTTCTGACGTAACTGAGAAAATAAAAACAAAATCCAGAAATCTGGATCTGTGAGAGATGGACACACTCATTCAGGCTGCTTCTATTGTTTTTCAAGTCTTCTTCAAGTTGGCAGTTCGGCGAATTTGCCTTTCAACCTCTCTTCTAAAAAAATCCAGAATCAAACAGCCGTTTACAATGATAGTATCGTCTCATTACTGCATAAAGGTGCCTGACGTTCCAGCGTAACAATGATATGACTAGGAATACTCCGGTGCTCTACATTGCATTAATCTCCCTCTCCTCTGTTAGTTTCACTACATGTGTGTCGTGTGTGCGAAAGTGTGAATATTCAACTTAAGAGTGAAATTATCAGTTCGGCTCCATGCTGTAATTTACATCAAGCTCCCTCTCCTGCTGTCAACCATCTTGCATTTATAGATCTCCCTTGTTGGTCTCCAGAAGTATCACTCAGAGCTGTCTTTATCCCCCTCTGTGGGCGTGTTCTCTCTTCAGTCTGAGTTTCATCTTCATTTTATGCGACTTCTGGATTCTCGTGGTATCAGTGAACTCAGCCTTATATTGATTGGAGAAACGAAAGCGGAACCAAAAATAAAACAACTACATGATGGTATTTCAACATTTTTCATCTAAATTTATAGAGCATTTCTTTCAGCTGCGTTTTCACTGTAGTTACTTTCACTATCGATTAAATATTGCTCTCTTGGTTTAACCAACATGGTGTGTTAGAGGTCCCGAGTATTCGCTTTTTGGTTAGTGTATCTGGTGGAAGGATAACAGATACATTTAAAGCTCTGGCCTGCTTTGCACTACAAAGAGGAGAACAGTTTCTTATTTCGGTGTTCTTCTTCTGTCAACAGGACATGAAGATAAAAATGCGATTAACATTGATTATCCTCATTATCCTGAATTAAAAGAAATGAGGTTAGATGCATTTGAGATTCCGAGCGGCCATTGATGTACAGAGGTAGTGTCCGCCCGCTGGGTCAAATGGATCCGGTTTCTAGATTGAAAGTGATGGATAAAATCTCTTAACTTTTCGTTTAGAACTTGGATACATACTAATGTCTGACCAATTATGTTTCATGCATTGTTTTCAAATTGAAGACGGGTGCTTCACGTTATCCATTTTCGCTCAGTTATTGATTCTCCTCTTTAAGGTTGCAGTAGTTGAGGTGTTGAGCCTGTCGGTATAGCTCCTGTCCCCCCGGGGTTTCTGTACTGGCTGTCCATTGTGTTGTATCACGATGATGATAATAGTGAAGAAGTAGATGGCCTTTCCACCCTCTTGATGTTGCTGATGGGGTGCTTGGGGAACAACTTAACAGCTAAATGTGGAGGAAATGCATTTCAAATTCCTTTACCAAATCATAGTTTAAACTGAGCCCAGCCTGACACTTTACAATTGATGTCTGTTTTCCCTTTTAGTTTGAATCATGGAGAGTCTGTAACTCAGGCAATCTGCTATAATGTTCACCAACCTGACTCTTGAAACCTCCAGAGGATACAAGCACGGATACATGGTCTTTCCATGTCGATTTCAGATATAAACATATTTAGCATTTAGATTGTTTGATAAATTATAACGGATTCTGTTCCCTTTGAGAGAAGGAATGCCTCCTCATTTCTCTCCGAAATTTGTCACT